GCTGAGGCAGGAGACTCCCTTGAGCCCAGGAGTTGGAGGTTGCTGTGAGCCTGATGCCTTGGCACTCTACCCAGGGGGATAGCTTGAGGCTCCGTCTTTAAAAAAAAAAAAAAAAAATTCCCTGGTTTTTCTACCAAACTCCACCTCTAGCTGTTCTGGCATAGTCCTTAACTCCTCACTTTCTCTGCCCCTACAAGTCAGTCCCTTAGAAACCCGGATGGCTCTGCCTCACCTCCACTGCTGCCACCTGGGCCCAGCTGTCTTCCCCTCTAACCTGGACCATCACAGTGCACTCTGAGCAGGCCCTCAGTGTTCAGTCCTGCCTTCCTGTGGCCTGGTCTCAACACCAAAGCCAGAGCAGTCCTTTGAAAACGTAATTCAGGTCTTTGCTATTCCTTGCTCAGAATCTTCCAGTGATGTTCCTTTCACACAGAATAAAAAGTAGAGTTCTTCAGCAAACCCTGCATTCCTAGACAGGTGTCTCCTCATTGCCTCTGGGATGTCATCATCCACAGCCCCCACCACACCCTGCCAGCCCTGTTCCCTCAGCTCCTCCCTCTACAGTACTGCTCCCCTTAGTGTCCCTGGGCTCATCTCTCACCTCCTCGGGTCTTCTCAAATGTCCCTTTGTTGAATGAATAAATGGCATGAGAAGCTCTGGTACCGTCTGTAGTGTTGTAGGTGCTGAATAAACAGTAGCATTACTCTGACGTCATTTAATCTTCACAGCACATTGTGTGGCAGTACTGCTGTTATCCTTGTTCAGAGTGGGGAACACAGGCCCAGTGCGGTCAGTCAGCCTAGAATGCTGGCTTGCAGACTGGACTGCCCCATGGGAAGGGCTGCGTTGTACTGTTCAACCCCGCAAATGGCACACATGCTGATGTGTAGGCATGTGGCTGTGGAGCTGCAGTGGAAGTTCTCAAGCTCTTAGTGAGCCTGACTATATTGGGTGCATTCTGACATTATCTACTCTGCCCTACTTGTTTTATTCATTTTTTAATTGCTAGCTTAAAATCTCTAAATTGTGGGCAGCACCTAGGGCTCAGTGAGTAGGGCGCTGGCCCCATATACCGAGGGTGGCAGGTTTGAACCCGGCCCTAGCCAAACTGCAACAACAACAACAAAAAAAAACAACCCTCTAAATTGAGTTTAAGAACCCCTTTTGGCAAAGACTTGTCCAAGCCTTTGTTCTGCATCTGTTGTTGTTGTTGTTGTTGTTGTTGTTGTTGTTTGGCCAGGGCTGGATTTGAACCTACCTCAGGCATATGGGGCAGCACCCTACCCTTTTAAGCCACAGGCACTGCCCCTTTTTTTGACAGAGTCTCACTTTATCGCCCTCGGTAGAGTGCCATGGCGTCACAGCTCACAGCAACCTCCAACTTCTGGGCTTAGGTGATTCTCTTGCCTCAGCCTTCCCAGTAGCTGGGACTACAGGCGCCTGGCACAACACACAGCTATTTTTTTGTTGCAGTTTGGCTGGGGCCAGGTTCAAACCCATCGCCCTTGGTATATGGGGCCCATGCCCTACCCACTGAGCCATAGGCGCCACCCCAGTTGCATCTGTTGTTTTTGCTTGTGGCAACTCCTGAACTAGCTATGTCAAAAATTTTTAGCACTAAAACTGCTCCGTAGATGGCCAGGTCAATACATGTGGCATCATAAAGTTACTTCCTTTCCTGCTGACGTCTGTGAAAGATAGTAAGAGTCTCTTTTAGACAAATGGGCGCATGGGTATAAGGAAAGAATAGGTGATAGGGTTGAGGGGAAAATTAAAATGGCTAAGAAGGAAGGCAAAGGAAGGACGGGAAGGTGCAAATAGAGGAGGGAGACTGACCATTCGGTACAAAAGGCGGATGGATAGGCAGGAATGGACAGAAACCCCACAAGGGCTGACCAGTGCAGTTGTTTTCGGATAGGCTGAAAGCGTCATTCATCCCTGGAAGTCAAATCACGCCCCTGCCTTGTTGCATTGAGTCAGCCCTTTAGCAGGGAGTTGTATGCCATGTTTGGGCACTCCCACCTTGGCAGCCCAGGAGACTCTTAGTTTCTGGGCTCTCCTGATGAGTCTACGGTAACCAGCAAAGGCCAGAAGACCATCTGCAAGTGTTGCTGGGGCCGAGGCTGATTCATATAGCTTGCCCTCTAGAAAAGATAAAACTGCCACAAATATCTTTGTTACTTGGGATCCATTTTAATATTAAATGTTCTGACAATATTTTATATTTACATTATAAAATCTAATGAAAGAAATGAGGTATTCAAGTAAAAAAGCCTAAGTGAAGGATCATACACAGAGAGCTGGGCATCTTCCCTGTAGGAGTTGGTTTCATCTTCCATGAGAGCATGATGGACCCTTGCTGGACACTTTATCTTTAATATTGAATAAAATTGCCTATTAATAATGTTACTTTCGGAAAGTTAATTACATAACATTTGTTGAGTTTTCTTTAGATTAAATATTTGCAACAGCCCTGCAAGAGGGCACAGTCACTCTTCCCAATCCCACACAGGGAACCTGCCTGGCAGAGGCAACAGAGACGCCTGAGGATAGTTGGCTAGCAAGAGGAAGGCAGCATCTCAGCCAAGCATCTGGTGCTAGGGCTCGCCCTCCATCTCCTCTTTAGGTTTAAAGAGAATGTCAGTGAAATCTCAGTATGACCCCTTAAGTTTAGGGCCAGGCTAACGTTTCCTCCGTGCTTGTATAAAAAATGTGATTTGGGGCTCAGTGCCAATAGCACAGCCATTACGGCGCCAGCCACATACACTAAGGCTGGCAGGTTCGAACCCAGCCTGGGCCAGCTAAATAACAATGACAAATGCAACAAAAAAAAACCCAGCCGGGCATTGTGGTAGGCACCTGTAGTCCCAACTGCTTGGGAGACTGAGGCAAGAGAATTCAAGCCCAAGAGTTGGAGGTTACTGTGAGCTGTGACGCCATGACACTCTATGGGGAAGGGGGCGACATAGTGACACTCTGTCTCAAAAAACCAAAAGTGTGATTTGGTAAGAAAGTAGTATTCAAGAGATTGCAAGTTAGCAATTAGCTTAATAAAGAAAGGAAACTTTTTTGTTTTTTAATGCTTCTCACCTTTGATACTTTGATTTAGTAGTAATTAGCAAATGACTTTATAAATTCTTACCTATTTTTAAAGCTCTGACAAGACTTCTACTCTGCAACCCATTGTTAACAATTCGCATTACATTTAAGTATATATAGTAATAAAACTGATTTTCTTTCAGATTATAGACAATCGGGGTTTGATAAGTCATGCTTATTCTCTGAATTAGTAACAGAGCCAAGCATCAACTGGGTCATGACCCTAAATAACAAATCTTTATTTTTAGCTACTGCTTGCCTTGCTACCTGCCCCATTCTAGCATTCTTTTTGATGGTGTAGGCATGCCTGTGTTACAGTATTTAGTTCCTAAAATTCTTCACTTTTATAAGGATCTGCTTAAACTGTGAGGCTAATTTTACATTTTCAGTCATAAATAAGTTTGTTATCCAAAAAACTTTTGTCAGCCTGTGGTCTACAAGGTGTTGGCACCTAACAAGACAGTTGATGGCCCCTGCCTTTGAGGTGCCTTTGTACTGGGGAGGACTTTGCCCCACCTTATCCATAATAATTTTACATTTTGTCTTTTAGAGAAACCCAAGCCATGGAGGGATTGCTGCATTACATCAACCCGGCACATGCCATTTCCCTCCTGAGTGCCCTCAACGAAGAACGGCTCAAAGGACAGCTGTGTGATGTGCTGCTGATTGTCGGAGACCAGAAGTTTCGAGCTCATAAAAATGTCTTGGCTGCTAGCAGCGAATACTTTCAGAGTTTATTCACAAATAAGGAAAACGAGTCACAAACTGTATTTCAGCTTGACTTTTGTGAACCAGATGCTTTTGACAATGTTTTAAACTACATTTATTCTTCCTCCTTGTTTGTTGAGAAGAGCAGCCTTGCTGCTGTGCAAGAACTTGGCTACAGCCTTGGGATCTCCTTCCTCACTAACATTGTTTCCAAAACACCTCAAGCCCCCTTCCCAACATGTCCTAATAGAAAAAAAGTGTTTGTAGAAGACGATGAAAACAGTTCTCAAAAGAGAAGTGTCATTGTTTGTCAAAGTAGACACGAAGCACAAGGAAAAACCGTTAGTCACAACCAGCCCGACCTAAGCCATACTTCCCGGCCCTCGCCTAGCACTGCAGTCAGGCCCAGTGCCCATAAGCCACAAGTTCCAAAACCAGTTGAGCCTCTTCACAATTTGTCATTAACTGAAAAGAGTTGGCCAAAAGATAGTTCTGTGGGATATGCAAAGTCTCTCGAGCACTCTGGATCTTTGGACGATCCTAATAGAAGCAGTTTGGTGAAAAGAAATGCAGTATTGCCTTCAAAGCCTCTCCAAGACAGAGAAGCTACGGACGATAAACCAGGTGTAAGTGGTCAGCTTCCAAAAGGGAAGGCCATAGAACTGGCTCTGAAGAGACCACGGCCACCTGTTTTGTCTCTCTGTAGCTCATCAGAGACTCCCTATCTATTAAAAGAGAGTAGCAAAGGAAGTGGTCAAGGTGAAGATAGGAACTTGTTATACTATTCAAAGTTAGGCTTAGTGATCCCATCCAGTGGGTCTGGGTCTGGAAACCAAAGCATCGACAGGAGTGGCCCACTTGTTAAGAGTCTCCTCAGACGATCGCTGTCCATGGACAGCCAGGTTCCTGTCTATTCACCCTCCATAGACCTGAAAAAGACCCAGGGATCATCAGCAGTGTCGGATGATGCACCAGGGAATATGTTATGTGCTTTATCTCAAAAGTCATCTTTAAAAGACTGTGGCGAAAAAGCAGCCCTAGATGGCAGGCCTCAAGTGCTACAGCCCCGTCGCCTCAGGTCCTTCAGTGCTTCTCAGTCAACAGACAGGGAAGGGGCCTCCCCCGTGACCGAGGTGCGCATAAAGACTGAGCCCAGCAGCCCGCTGTCGGACCCCTCAGACATCATCCGTGTCACCGTGGGAGACGCAGCGGCAGCAGCGGCTTCAGCACCGTCAGTCACAAGAGACCTATCTCTGAAAATGGAAGACCAGAAGGACATGAGCAGGCTCCCAGCAAAAAGGAGGTTCCAAGCAGATAGACGGTTGCCCTTTAAGAAGTTAAAAGTGAACGAGCACGGGTCTCCTGTGTCAGAAGACAACTGCGAGGAAGGCTCCAGCCCCACTCTCCTGGAGGCAGATTTCCCAGATTCTGATTTGAATAAAGAGGAATTTGGTGAGTTGGAGGGGACGAGACCAAACAAAAAATTTAAATGCAAACATTGCCTTAAGATCTTTAGATCAACAGCAGGTCTTCACCGTCATGCTAACATGTACCATAACCCAGAAAAGCCCTACGCTTGTGACATCTGTCACAAGAGGTTTCACACCAACTTCAAAGTGTGGACACACTGTCAGACCCAACACGGCATAGTGAAGAACCCATCACCAGCTTCTAGTTCCCATGCTGTTTTGGATGAAAAATTCCAAAGAAAGCTGATTGATATAGTGAGAGAGAGAGAGATTAAGAAGGCCCTGATCATTAAGTTAAGGCGCGGCAAGCCTGGTTTTCAGGGACAGAGTAGTTCCCAAACGCAGCAAGTCATCAAGAGGAACTTGCGATCTCGAGCCAAAGGAGCATACATTTGTACTTACTGTGGAAAAGCTTACCGCTTTCTCTCTCAATTTAAGCAGCACATAAAAATGCACCCAGGAGAAAAACCCCTTGGAGTACATAAAGTTGCTAAGCCAAAAGAGCATGCTCCTCTTGCAAGTCCAGTAGAAAACAAGGAGGTTTACCAGTGCCGCCTCTGTAATGCTAAGCTCTCTTCTCTCCTAGAGCAAGGAAGCCACGAGCGTCTATGCCGGAACGCCACCGTCTGCCCTTACTGCAGCCTCAGGTTTTTCTCGCCCGAGCTGAAGCAGGAGCACGAGAACAAGTGTGAGTATAAGAAGCTGACCTGCCTGGAGTGCATGCGCTCCTTCAAGTCCTCCTTCAGCATCTGGCGGCACCAGGTAGAGGTCCACAATCAGAACAGCATGGCACCAGCTGAAAACCTCTCTGTGCCAGTTCTGGACCACAATGGTGACGTGACTGCTTCTTCAAGGCCCCAAGTCCAGCCTGAGCCTCATAAAGTAAACCATGTCACCACAAAAGACGACAATGTGTTCAGTGATTCATCAGAGCAAGTCAACTTCGACTCAGAGGATTCCTCATGTCTCCCTGAAGACCTTAGTCTTTCTAAGCAGCTGAAAACCCAAGTCAAGGAGGAGCCTGTGGAGGACGCTGAGGAGGAGTCCCCCGAGGCCAGCGTGGCCCCCAGGGAAGCAGGTCCTAGCAAGGATGCTGGTGTGTGGCCCTGTGAGAAGTGTGGGAAGATGTTCACCGTGCACAAGCAGCTGGAGCGGCACCAGGAGCTTCTGTGCTCTGTGAAACCATTTATTTGTCACGTGTGCAACAAAGCTTTTCGCACTAACTTTCGTCTCTGGAGTCACTTCCAGTCACACATGTCTCAGGCTACAGAGGAGTCGGGGCGTAAGGAATCTGAAGTCTGCCCCGTCCCCACAAACTCTCCCTCGCCACCCCCTCTGCCACCACCGCCACCACTGCCCAAGATCCAGCCCCTGGAGCCCGACAGCCCCACAGGCTTGTCTGAAAACCCAGCTCCAGCCACAGAGAAATTGTTTGTACCCCAAGAATCAGACACCCTTTTTTACCATGCCCCACCCCTTTCAGCGATCACATTTAAAAGACAATTCATGTGTAAACTTTGTCATAGGACATTCAAGACTGCGTTTAGTCTTTGGAGTCATGAGCAAACACACAACTGAAAGACCAACATTTTTACCTATTAAGGGATGGGGGCAGTCCCCAGATTTCAACCTGGATTGTGAAATGTGCATAAGTAACAATATTTTTTAAAAAAGAATAATAAATGTTGAAAATTGTTATGCTTGAATTTAAGTCTGAGTTTAAACTGATACTAGTCGGTAATGTTCTTACTCAACTTTAGAAATAAATTTAACATATCGCGGTCTGGACCTTCCAGGAACAAGGTGGTCTGATCTCATTAAGGTTGAGAGCGGTTCATTTTCATTGTTTGCATGGTTCCTTCTCATTCCACGGTGTCAGTATAATCATTTAATTGAGGTTTTTGGTTTTTACTGATTTGTAATTAGTAGAATCAAAAGTATTTCTTTTGATTATTTCAGACACCTAAGTTCTAGTAAATCTTAACCATATTCTTCTGTCTGAAAATATATGAGGAAGAAGTGGAGTAGTTTGCTGTATTGATTTAGATCTTAGAATACTTTAGCAATAAAAAAAAATAAACCTCAACTTTAATAAGTTATCCTGACACTTGATAAAAATATTTGGTATTTTGTGGTCACATAGAACTTTTTTTTGTATGAAAATTGTGAGACATTTAAATCAGCAATAGCAACAGTTTTATAAACTGACAAAAACTTGCTCTCTTTCTCAGTCACTTAATACTATAATGAATGACAGTTAAACTCTAAAGAAGGCTTAGAAGATGAAACATGATTTATGGAAGTGCCCTGAAGTCAGTTTCCTAGAGCTTCCATGTTGGTGTGAGTAATGTACTCTCCTCACAAGTACAGACCAAGATTTAAAGGACTGTGAGTGTTTGATGTCTTCTGATTTATGCCATCACAAATTGAAGATCTGAGTATAGATGGGACAAAATAGCTAACATCCGGCACTAATTTTGAATTTAACATTAGTGTAACATGTAAGGTCAGGTCATATATCTAATAGATCCCAAACACTCAGAGTCAGCACAGCTGATCTAAAGTTCTCAACTGCCCTTTACTCCCAAAGCAGAGGAGGAAACACCACGCTGCAATTCGATAGCTTTTCAAGAATAGTATATATAGCATACATATTTTCCTGCCTCACAGTCTTTTGTGACAATTTCTGTTAGAATTGGTTGGCGTTTACAGTGGTTAAAAGGTCACTGGTGAGGCCACTGCTCTGAGTCACTGCTGACTATTTCATGAATGTGTACAAAAGCTCTATCCACAGTCCAAAAGTAGTTTTAGCTACTTACTTTGGTTCATAGGTTTGGGGCTTGCTTTTCCTATTATGTATTAAGTTGTGATTAAAAGCCTTTCAATAGGTATTATCCAAAGTTCAGTGCAGTGTTTCAAAAGAGAGGGTTTTTCCTTGGTTAGACATATAAAAGAAATGTTATTGAAACTACAAAATCTTTGTTAAGATAGTAATACAGGTTAAGACTTCAAGTTCATAATTCATTTTTTACAAGCTATAATTTCAAATTTTAAAAAGTCATCTACTGTGATTGAGAAATTTATGGGCTCTAGCAGAAAACTCTGTCCCCGTCAGTCTCTTTACCAGCATCCATACCAGTGGTAGGAATGATTAACTTTTCACTGGAACACAGCATTTTTATAAAATACTGTGTAAAATTGACTTTGTACGTTATAGAAATGATGCATGAAATTTTTCCTTTTATTCTGTCACTTTAAAAAAACTACCAAAAATTCCAAGGTATTTTAGTAGTTACTTCCTCTTTTGTTCTTTCTTAGATTTGATGAACAGAGGAGAATAAGATTGAGCAGTAGTTACTGACTCTGTGCATTTTAGAGGCAGCACTGGAGCAGTGCAGCGTCAGGATGGGTGATTGAGCTTTCAACTCATTCCCTGCAATGTGTGGTGTTACTCTGAGCCTCTGGATAAGCTGTCACTTCTTCAGAAGGAGACAGTTCACTGAGTAATCATCACCTGCATGGCCATTAGAGTATCTGTAATAATTCCATGATACAATGTATCTTAGCAGTGCAAATTCAGTATCCCACAACTTGAACCTTTATGCTACATTTTCCAAGATTTATAAAAGTAATGCTATTAATCAAAAAATATTTTTGATCTGACTATAGGCTCCACAAATCTGTTAGATTTTAAAAATTACAGTGTTTATCTTATTAGCTCACATTTTTGTCTAGGCAAGGAAAATAAGATTTCAAATAAAATTTTGAACCAAAAACATTTATAATGCAGTTCTGGTTTTTCTATTACTTTTATACTGAACCTTAAAAGCATTAGGCTGAAAGAGTTTATTTTGATGGTCAAAAAAAATATGCTTCCACTCCTGTAACTATTTTAAATGTTAAAAAGTGAAATAATTAAAGACATGACTTGTTTTATTTGTTGAACAGATTTTAAAGAACGTTTTATCTCAGTAGGCAAATATTTGGTGTAAAACAAGGTGGACTTTCATAGTCGCAACTCCAGTGAAGATATTCTTGTAAATATCTTTTCTGATTGTAATTAATTTTTGAAAATGTAGAAAGCTCGTTATTCCTTATAAGTATTCAGGTTGCCTGCTTTTTTACACAGTTGTTGAAGAGAATGTAAAATGTTTTAATATATTGTTTGTTAATCTGAGAACTTGTTACAGAATCATTTTCTTTATGTGGGAGAAGGAAAGAGTAACATAAAACATGTTTTTATCACTCAAAGTAAGCAATGGAGGTAACAAATTTTGTGCATTTTTAATAGTTATATTTCAAGATTAACAGAACATTCACCTTTACAACTAGTTAGTGTGCATTTATAACTTTACCAAAATATACACCTAACAGCAGTGATGCTATTTGCATTTGTGGAGAGATGTATGACGTTCCTGCTTTTCTGGTTTAGAATGGATTGTTTCTAGCCTTTTCTTTGTAAAAGTCAGCCTGGTCCTTAACAGGGACACCTAGATGTACTTGCAGCACCGCTGGTACTAGTGGGAGCAGCCTCTGTGAGGCAAGAAGAAACCAGGGGGGTTGTGGCCATGTCTGGCTGGCTGGCCGGTCAGGATGAGGGAGAGGTAAAAATTAGCAGATCTAAACTTGGCTTTTTCTTCTTCAAGTCAGGTTCTCACAGTTATGCTGTGCAATTTACAAGCAAGTTGCAACTTTAGGGAGTAAATTTTCTTAATAAAGAATAATTGGGTGTCATTCTTAACAGATTTCTCTACAAATTTAATTATTACTGGAATATTTACGAGTAAGTTTGTTGATTTCCGATGTCCATTGATGTTTTGCAGTAATTGTGAACTGCATTATTGATTAATATAATGCTGACATTTAATAAGTATTCTTTAACATTGACTACTAAACTTTAAGTTTTAAAAATAGGGTTTCCTCTTTTGTGGTTCTTTGTGGCTTTAGCACTTTAGGAAGTTTGCTGTTCTCGTACACCGTGACACACTCTGCTGGCGCAGGGCAGCCAGTGTGCCAGGTCACGGAGCTCCACGCCACGGGGAGGAGGCATGAGTTAATATCAGGTGTTTTAATTCTTTCTTGGAGACAGTCTTTTGGGAACCAAAGTATTTTACTGTAAATCTTCAAAATAATTGAATTCAGCACTGTTTAGTCATTTGTTAGTGCTGTCCAGATTTTCCATGAAGTTATATTTGGTTAATACTAATTTTCCAAAGGTGTTCCTTTCTTTTAACATTATTCCAGGATTATTTGAAGTGTTTCATTGAATATATACTTACTAAAAAAAATGAGTGGTTTTATTATAATTGTGCACATTTGGTCATCATATGCCTTAGCAGAGTAAGTCACTGATTTTATTTAGGAATAAGCTGTTTGGGACTGAACATTTATAGTAAAATAGGATTTCTATCTAATGTTAATCCATTGCTTATTTGTATCCAATTCTCTTGTCTGTTTACTTCCCTTAAATCTCGACTAAGAATGATCGGAGTCAATAAATTTGTACTGTATTTTGCTTTGAGTCGTGCTTTCAGTGCTGTGTTTTGTACCTTGATAGTAATGATTAGTAGCATTTAAATTTATGAAAGTGGCTCGGCGCCTGTGGCTCAAGCGGCTAAGGCGCCAGCCACATACACCTAAGGTGGTGGGTTCAAATCCAGCCCAGCCCACCAAACAACAATAATGGCTGCAACCAAAAACTGGCCGGGCGTTGTGGCGGGCGCCTGTGGTCCCAGCTACTTGGGAGGCTGAGGCGGGAGACTCGCTTGAGCCCAGGAGTTGGAGGTTGCTGTGAGCAGTGATGCCATGGCACTCTACCCAGGGGGACAGCTTGAGGCTCTGTCTCAAAAAAATAAATAAATTTATGAAAGTAAAGATAAGGCCCATAATGTGGGTAATATGAATAGCCACTTTGGGGTTGTGTGAGAATTTAATTTTCCTCAGTTCTAAGTTGCTGGTAAAATTTGGGCTGTATTAAAGCTACAGTTATTTGGGCACCAAAAATATATGATCAGAGGGGCAACGATCTTTGCTTATCCACTTTTTTCATTACTGTCCACACCACTGTTTTTTGTTTGTTTTGGTTTTTATTGTTGGGGATTCATTGAGGGTACAAAGAACCATGTTACATTGATTGCATTTGTTAGGTAAAGTCCCTCTTAGAATTATGTCCTGTCCCCAAGAGATGTGTCACACCCCGTGACCTCCCACCCCTCCCTCCTCTCTCCCTGCGCCCTCCCACCCCCAACTGTGTACTAAGGTCATCAATTGTCCTCATATCAAAATTGAGTACGTAGGATTCTTGTTTCTCCGTTCTTGTGGTGCCTTACTAAGAATAGTATGTTCCTCTTCCATCCAGTTTAATACAAAAGATGTGAAGTCTCCATCTTTTTAATGTCTGAATGGTATTCCACAGTATGCAGATACCACAGCTTGTTAATCCATTCCTGTTTTTTAATCTACCTTTACTACTCAAATTAATTTTTTTTTTTTTGGAGACAGTCTCACCATGTCATCATCAGTAGAGTGCTGTGACGTCACTGCTCAACAGCAACCTCAAACTCCTGGGCTCAAGCGATTGTCTTGCTTCAGCCTCCCAAGTAGCTGGGACTACAGGTGCCTGCCACAATGCCTGGCTGTTTTTTGTTGCAGTTGTCGTTGTTGGTTAGCTGGCCCAGGCCAGGTTCAAACCCACCAACTTCTGTAC